AGGTTACTGTAATCCTCCAGAAGCACTTTTGTTAGCCTTTGATTAGATAAGTAAATTAATGGCATCTTAATAGAGGAATGTCAAACACAATATCCCAGAGGGTAGCACCTATAAGAGCATTACTTAAATCAAACACAATGCATGGGAACAAACACATGATATTATAATCCCACCAGTCACCCTTTGCAACTCCAAAACCATTCATATATATCCCTTCAAAGCGAACCAGCAACACTGCTCACAAAACTGCCATAACTTCTCTTTTAAATGCTGCTTTTCTTACCTTTTTGTAATACAGAACGACAGGTATTTTCTCAATGAGATCTCAGAAGATTCTTGCCATTTTACCTAAAAACAGAGGAATACTAATTTGCATAATGTTTGCTTTTGTGTTGCAATTACTGTGGCTATAACTGACCTATATTCTGGTGCCCTTTTGCGAATGATATCAAACATATTGTTACGTTTCAGTTGTTTAACTTGATCTTTAACTGGTAATAATCATGCTTTAAATGTATTGGTCCAACATGAGTCAGGTATCTGATTACATTATTTTGCGTTATGCGTTATAACATATCTTATTTAGCTGTTTTGAAAATGGGCTTATTTGCTTTCTTGCTTGAAACCCTCTTATTTCTGCAAACCAGGAGCCAGTTAGCTTAGCTTAGCATAAGCAACAAGGCTGGTTTTGAAGATATTAGTCGACATTAAACATACATTTTCAAACATGTCTGACTATTTATTTAAGGACCAAAGAGAAAGCATGAAGAGGAAGCAGGTCTGTTAAAAAGAGAGCTGCAGCTTTAGTCTACAGGTCGTTGTTTGCAGGTGTTGACTTCATTAATACCTCCTCCTGACAGATTGATTTCATATCCTGTCATTCTGCAGCGTCTGTGACACTCATCAGGAAGGAGCTTGTCGCTGACCGATGATAGGTTCAAATGAATATTAGATCTGCTTCCTGGAGTTATATTAAGGCACGCTTTACAGGAGAAAGTGTTTCTATGATGTCTTATGTGAAGATTGTGATGCCCTAATTTCATTCATGTGGTGCAACAAATCAGATCTCTGCAAAAGGAAGCTTTATTTTAAGCATTTTAATACTTTCAGGATGGATTTGAGGTATTTTTGTGCAAGGCTCCGGCGCTGTAGTGTTTGCAGAAGGAGCCTGAATGTCTGAGGATGTTGTGAAGTCCAGAAGGTCAGCTGTTATTTGAGCAGTTCCTCCCCGATCTCTGGGAAACAAATGAGGCTCTGCAGGGAGCTGGAGGCCTCCCGGTGCTCGCTGCTATACAAGGAGCAGATATCTGTAATCATCTGTTACTCTGCGCTCTAGAAAAGCAGCTTGAGGAGAGAGGAGGAGGAGGGGGGTCCGTTGGGGTCCTTTGATTCTTCTCCTCGCCATAAGCAGGTAGGTCAAGCGACAGTAATATCCTTCATCTTCACCATAATCATCATCAGCAGCAGCATCAGTGAGCAGCATGTGTCTGAGGCGCTGTGTATTAAGAACACAGACTGACCCCAGACTGACCCCAGGAGGGAATGTCTAAAAGTAGAAGAACTCGTAGGATGGTTCATAACTTGTTGTGATGTCCTGTGAGCTGGGTTTTCAGTGGCTTTGTTGGTTTGTCAGCAGGAAAACGGAAGAAATACTGGTCGAAATGTACGTGAAACTTTGCGTAATGGTGTAGCATGAGCCAAGGAAGAACACTTTAAATGTAAGAAAGGGTCCGAATAACGGTGCGGATACACGTCAGATTGAAACAGCCTTTTAGTCTTATAGTGCCTTTCTGGTTTCATGTGTGTTTCTGCAGTCATTGTGTTTACAGTGTGCCGTACAGAACTTTAATTGAAGTGTAGTTCAGCCTGAATGATCCCTGAGTCTGAAACAGTGTGTGTTGATTTGATCGGCCTCACAGCTGCATCAGTTTGCTGTGGCAGCAGCACATTAAAGTGCACATCAAAGAGTGTGTGTGTGTGTGTGTGTTTTACATCTGACAGAGCCCTCCTGCCCTCACTGTGCACCTGTCAGACACAATCAGCCCGCCCACTGTAGTTTTCTGTGTGTGTGTGTGTGTGTGTGTGTGTGTGTGTGTGTGTGTGTGTGTGTGTGTGTGTGTGTGTGTGTGTGTGTGTGTGTGTGTGTACCATCTTCAGGACTCACGGCGATCACACGACTCACTCAGTTTGACGAACAGACGGAGAGCTGGTCGTCGTGGAAACGGCGTGTGATCCTCTCTGCATCTCGCCCATGTGGGGAATGCAAACTCTGCACGTCTCCACGCCAACCACTGACCCACGTTGCCACGGTTTCAAAAATCTTTGTTGACGAAACAATAGAATTCGCCGCCTCGTCTCGACTCTTGCTGTAAAGGTAAGCTGACCTCAGATCAGGGAAACACCCTCGCTACACACACACACACACACACACACACACACACACACACATGCACACACACACACACACACACACACACACACACACACACATATAATTATACATAGATGCATAAAAGTTATACTGTTATTGCAAAAATAAAACAAAAGCACTATATACAGTATTCTTTTTATTAGCATCAGAAGAAATGCATATTATTTTTATAAAATATTTCTCCATTTTAGAATTAAGTAAAATAATGATAAAAATAATAATAATACAAATATTACAAAACAAATTAATACATTAAAAAGTTTAATAAAATGTTAAACCAAAAATATTAAATGAATGTATTTATATAATTATAAGAAGTTGGTTTAAATAGCGCAGCAATAAAATGACCCTTAACAATATCTAACCTAACCAAATATTTAATTAAAGAAGAATATGTTTGTTTCTTCCTGATGAGTCCGTTTCTGTCCATGAATGGACGTCTTTGTCTCCGTCGTGTGTGTTTGTGTGTGTGTGTGTGTGTGTGTGTGTGTGTGTGTGTGTGTGTGTGTGTGTGTGTGTGTGTGTGTGTGTGTATTCAGAGTATCTGTGTGTCACTGAGCCTCAGTACTGTGTTTGTGTACTGCATGTGTACAGGAGGAGGTGTTTCAAAGTCTTTTATCTTCTTATTAGGAATAGTGTACCACACACACACACACACACATACACACACACACACACACACACACACACACACACACACACACACACAGTGAGTAATTATTGAACGAGTTGAAAGTCGGATGTTTGACTTGGCTTATGTCATCAGAAGAGTCCGAGGTCGATCTGCAGAACAAGATAAGAGAGGCTGCAGGTCTGACCTCACAGGAGACGGAGGGTTGCGTAAGAAAAGGTGTGTAAGTGCAGTATCTGTAATTAAGACAAGACATAATGCATTTGTCTGTTTTGATAGCTTTGCATTTGAAATGTTCCAGTTTCAGTCTGGTTTATATGACACTTTATTCCTGAAAACATTGAGGCATTAGATTATTTCTATGGCTGTTTTTATGGAGTACTTCAAAGATATCTCCAATATTCTCTCTGTAAAAACATTTGAGTCTTACAGTATACTGTATGTCAAATAAAAACAGCTATTTTGAAGCTATCTATCTCTTCTAGAAATATATGCAAATAACCACACATTTAACATTGTAATGCTTCCATTTTATATTTAAATAAATCGGTTCAGAAAACTTGCAATACAAAAAATAATTGTCTTAATTTAAGTTATCAAGTGGGGAAGTTTCATAGTGATATCTATTAGTTAGAAAGGTTACCCTATTGACCTGCAGTGTCCCTCTCCAGGCTCCATTCATTACAGTCATTACTGCTTAATAGCTTATGATAATAGCCGGGATCATCACTAGTGTACTGACAGTGATGAGGCGGATATTAGGGGTGTGGGCAACACTTACTATAAGAAAGGGATCATCTCTGCATCCATAAATCATTTTGTGAAACGTCAGAGACAGTTTGAAGGTTAGGCTGTAGACTTTTTCTATTTATGTTCTCCTAAATTCCTTAAAAGTGAGGATTAGATAACGCCTTATTTGCATATTTAAACATGGCACGAGTGTCTCCCCTTTGAGTTCCACTGGCAGTCGTAGAAACTTGCATGCAAACAATTTTAAATGATAAACATCTTGTTGTTTATTTACAATCTTGAGGTTCTGGACACTTGTGAATATCTGCAGCACGTTGTCTCATATCTGATGTCCCTGTTGTGATGGCACAGATTTGACCTCTTCCTGAACACACAGTCACACACACACAACACACACACACACACACACACACACACACACACACACACACACACACACACACACACACACAGTCACACACACACACACACACACACACACACACACACACAGTCACACACACACACACAGTCACACACACACACACACACACACACACACACACACACACACACACGACAGACAGACAGACAGACAGACAGACAGACAGACAGACAGACACACACACACACAGTCACACACAGTCACACAGTCACACACACACACAGTCACACACACACACAGTCACACACACACAGTCACACACACACACACACAGTCACACACACACACACACAGACGCACACACACACACACAGACGCACGCACACACAGTCACACACACACACAGACAGACGCACGCACACACAGTCACACACACACACACACACACACACAGTCACACGCACACACAGTCACACACACACAGTCACACACACACACACAGACAGATGCACGCACACACAGTCACACACACGCACACACACGCACACACAGTCACACGCACACACAGTCACACACACACACAGACAGACGCACGCACACACAGTCACACACACACACACACACACACAGACAGACGCACACAGTCACGCACACACAGACGCACTCACACACACACACACACACACACACACACACACACACACACACACACACACACACACACACACACACAGTCACACACAGTCACACACACAGACGCACACACACGCTCATGATGACTTTGGGACGTGTGGACTCTTGTCGGTCGTTTGCTCTGTCATTTGTTGTTCATCACTGTGTAACTATCTTTGTGGATCTTTATAACAAACTTCTTTAGAGACTAAACTGGTTCGACAACAGAGGAGAAGAGTTATAGTCTTTATAAAGAGGGCTTTTTTGTTGGCTGGCTAGAGGTCTTTTGTGTTCATTTCTCCGTAAAGGACTGATATGAGGCTGTGGGACCATGAGAGATATGTCAAATAATGCTATTGCATCTACAAAACAGCAGGAAATAGTGTGTGATTTTCTTTAAATAGAGGGGAGCTCTGTTGTATCGGCCCCTGGCTTCTGAAACTCTCTTGTAAATCTGGATTTTATGCAGTTTTATGCAACAAAAACGCCCATTAAAATCCCTTAGAGCAGGGGTGTCAAACTCAATTTCATCCCGGGCCACATCAGCATTATGGTTGCACTCAAAGGGCCGGTTGTAATTTTAATGATATATAAATATACATATGTAAATATATAATATATATTAAATAATGTATTATATTACATTGTTGGCCCTGCATTGGATTATTATCAGTTCTGGTCATATCTTCCTAAATAACTACGTCTGAAAGCAGAAGTCTAGGGCAAATAATTGAAAGTAAATATTCAACATTTACACCAATTGTATTGTATATTATATTCTTTGCAAGATCTTGCGGGCCACATAAAATTAGGTCGCGGGCCGGATTTGGCCCCCGGGCCTTGAGTTTGACACCCCTGCCTTAGAGCCTGAAGTGATGGATTCAATGTCTTGCTTTGTGTTACCAATAGTTTAGGGTTAATGGCAAATTCTCACATGTAGAAGCTGGAACTCTAAAATATGAACATTCAACTACAGATGGGGAAAGAACACACTACATTTGACTCATTTGATCCATACAAATATTGATTTTGTCTTCAGGAAGTGCATTTTAAACACATTCGTTTTAGAGGGAATTTCATCCCTAGATGTAAGCGGACTCTTTGGCAGAGTTTTTATTTGGCTAACTTCTTTCTCTTATCCCTGTTGATAGAGACAACTGGCACCACATCAAGTCAGGTGCAGTCAGCTTTTCTTCAAGGGAGATTTACGCTAACAAACAGACAAATCCTACTTTAATAACACCACATACTTTTCATTTATTCAGCTTTAAGGTACACAAATTAACCATCAACTAGTTGTTAATTAACATGCATATTCGCAGGCTCTTTATTAGTCATTATAAAACACGTATTAATGCCTTATTCTACATGAGAAATACCTAATTTTGAGTTATTTAGATACAATTAACACTTATAGTTTCATGTCTTGTTACATAACAATAGATCATATTTGTTAGGTGTTATTATGGGAGAATTACTATTCTTGTGGTACTGCTACTGCATATTGAGCATATTAAGACCCACTCATGTAGAACAACGTCCTTACTTGCATTAAATAAGCATGAATTAGAGGCTTATAAAGGAAAAACTCTCAACTAATGGTTTAGTACTTGTAGAATAAGGCATTAATAAGTGTTTTATACTAACTAATAAAGAGCCAATATACTGCTAATATGCATGTTAATTAACAGCTAGTTGATGGTGAATTTGTGTACCTTAAAGTGGACCTATCATGCTATATTTGAATAATATAGTGTAGGGCCATACCTATATAAGGCATATTTATACTTTTTTTTCCTTCAAAATACCAAACAGATCATGCATTTTAGCCATGCCTCATTTTGCTCAATTTGAAAAATGTTAGCTCTGTTTTTGCAAGGGCAGATTCAGTGAGAACAGCACCACCTACAGGCCTGGCATATGTACTACAGCGTCTCCAGCGCTTTCGAACGGCAATGGCCGTGGCTGTCTCCTCCTGATTGGTGGAGTTGGCCCAATAGCCGTAGCGCCACCGTCCTGACGTCAGGACAGTGTTCAAATCTGGATCAGTTTTTATCAGATCCGTTGCAGCCCCTTTTTTAGAGATTTGGGTATGGAGGAAAATAGAGAGGGTTGTGTTTTCTGACACTTGGTGAGTTCCCTGGAACACCGGGGACACATATTCATGTATAAAAGACGTACACAAGTGCATTTTGCATGATAGGTCCCCTTTAATATAAAGTATTACCCAGCTTTTTTGCCCCACTAGCCTGTACTTCTGTTCCGGTTTCTGAGCTGGAAAAGAGTCCTCCAGTGAAAGATAAACCTCTCAGTACCGCTCTTATTAAAGGCCTCATTGTTGACTGTTTGTTGCGGGTCATTTTGTTTCACTACACTTGAAAGGGACGGTCAAAACTCTGCAAGGAGAGGCAGCCCCCACCTCCATTTGAGCGTGAACACAAGCCCTTCACTCGAGTGTGTGTGTGTGTGTGTGTGTGTGTGTGTGTGTGGGTGTGTGTGTGTACAGTGTTATGGGACATTGATCAGAATGACTATTGTGCTGCTTTTTGATAAGGAAAAATATCCCAGATTCTGAACCAGTGACATCAAATCTGCAAAAAGAAAACGTAATCTTATAGAGTCTGAAGAGTAGTGTGATATCTCCTAAAATGCACTTTAAATAGCTTTTATCACTATGAACACATGCTATTCTATGATGTTGTTCTGAATGTTTCGGCACACTATAGTATGACCTTTTAAAAATACTATGCAATGATGAATGTTCTGGTATTTTCGATAACCAGTTTTTAACAAAATAAATAGATTTTCAACACGCTATACTATTCTCTTTTAGAACGTTCAACACAATATGCACTTCCTGTTCATCTGAATGTTCAATATGCTATTCTATTTAATTTCATAAGGACATACTTGACTTTTACACAACTTTTTCTATATTTTTGGCATGCCGAACTGGTTAAGAAAAATGTGTTCAACATAATAAACTTTTTTCACAAGAAAGGGAGGAGAACAAATAAGCCAAACATTTGGGAACTTTACTCTGAGGATACACATCAAACACATGTGAGTCTCAGTGTGACACATTGGCCAAACTCCTTGATGTCAGTTTTACCCCCCTGTGGTTAATCAAATGGAAATGGAAATGGATAATGAAACTAAAACTTTGATCTTTCTCTTGAGAGTGTTTCAGATCATCAGGCCCCCGGCCCCCCGGCCTCTAGACGGTCTCAGCTGCAAACTGCAGGACCCCATCATCCTACAAATGACAGTTAAGTGGTCATCTTTTCTCCTAAATTCTCCAAAAGTGAGCATTAGATAACGCCTCATTTGCATATTTAAACATGGCACTAGTGTCTCAACTTTTAGAGTTCTCCTGGAAGTCGTAGAAACTTGCATGCAAACCATTTTAAATTGCAAACTGCAGGACCCCATCATCCTACAAATGACAGTTAAGTGGCCATCTTGGCTCCTTTTTCCTTATTATAATAGTACAGTGTGTCCGTGGGGTTATTACAAAATATATACTTTACTATCAAGTTGTATGAAAACATTTTTACTTAAGTTACAATACATACTATACTACGCCTGGTTTCTACACACTATACCGTGCCTTATTTCGACATAAAATACCATGTGTTCTTTTGTCATTTTTTCAACATGCTATATATTATGACTTTTCTGTCATTATTAACGACATGCTACGCCTGGTTTCTACACACTATACCGTTTATTTGTCTTTGAACTTCAAGCTCCATGTCCCAATTAACTTATCACACGTCTTTAACCAGCACAAACGATGCCTCCAGCTGCTACATCTTCAAATAATAAGTCCTCATTTCTCTCTAGACAAAGAGGATATATGACTGCTGTCTTTGTGCCACACAATGAACAAGAAAGAGTCTTCAGAGACAGCCAGCTTCCACACGGCAGAAAGACAATGAATAATGTGGGAAAGCACCACATTCTGGGATCTGAGGGCACAGTTTCTGTTTTGTAGATAAGGAATTCAGATTATGTTTCATTGCAATCTTCTAGGCATTTAGCGCTGGTCCATATGTTTGTGCCAAAAGGACGGGACAAAAACACTGAATCATAAAAGGGATAACAAGTTCCAATAACAAAAATAAATGTATTTAATTTAAGGAAGACGTTTAACAAGGCACAATAAGGGTTTTGCTAAACTATCAAATATGTACATAGATATTTCACTTGATGTATAAAACACTTTTGTAACGAGATCCACAACATATTGATGATACAGTGAGAAATTTGACATTAACAGTCATTAATAAATACCTTTTCATGCAGATGTTGAGAGGGAAACTACTGAGAGTCAGAGTATCAAATACCTCAGCACTTGTTGTTTAGCTAATGCTACAGTTTACAACAGTACACATGTAACAGTTGTACATATGCAGTGGTGTTTAGTGTTAAATAATTATTTATAAAACATTTAGTACAATCACACAAATTCTGCGGAACCTCCAAAATTGAGTCACTGTACTCAGGAGATTATTTTTGTGTCCTTCACGTTTTCCTCTGCCCTTTTTGTAAATGTTCCACGAGAGAAGAGTCGGTTTGAGGAAAGAAACAATTGAATAACGACTGATTTGTTAATTATAACTTTTGTATGCATGCTTCTACATAACATTAAGCTGTCTTTTGCTCTTCTTCTGCTGTAACTACGTAAATGTACCCTCTGTGGGACTAATACATGGATTCTGATTCTGTTGTATATTGTCAGGTACGTTTTCCTCTGCAATTTTTGTGAATGTTCCACGAGAGAAGAGTCGGTGTGAGGAAAGAAACAATTGATATATAACACAACGCAGAGACCGCTTATTGACACCGGTTACACATCACCTGAGGTCAAGACCCCCAAAATGTGACGACCAGCCATGTGAGGCAGAAAACTAACACCAGTGAGGACACAGATGCGGTCACGACGAGCCGCTGGAAGGAGCACGGCGTCTGGAGAGTTTTATTTTGATCAGACGTCGTTGGCACAGACTCGAGGGTTTTGATCGTGGACCAGCGTGACTCGGCAGAGAGTGATTGTCAGGACGGAAGTTTCTTAGGTTTCCTCATCTTCTTCAGCTTCTCTTGCCTCACCGTCTCTCCTTCGAGGGACGACAGCTCTGAGATCCTGTGGAAGAACGAGCGAGAGGCTCCGAGCACCGGGTCGGGGTAAGAAGGACCTGAGGAGAAGAAATATTAGGATCTATAATACAACTAATCATTACAAAACAATCTGCTATATAACATGTTAGGGGTGGGAATCACCAGGCTCCCCACGATACGATACTATCGCCATACTTAAGCCACGATACGATACTATCGCCATACTTAAGCCACGATACGATACTTAAGCCATACTTAAGCCACGATACGATACTTAAGCCACGATACTATCGCGATACTTAGGCCACGATACGATACTGCGATACTTAAGCCACGGTACGATACTATCACGATACTTACGCCACGGTACGATACTATCGCGATACTTAAGCCACAGTACGATACTTAAGCCACGATACTATCGCGATACTTAGGCCACGATACGATACTGCGATACTTAAGCCACGGTACGATATTATCACGATACTTACGCCACGGTACGATACTATTGCGTTACTTAGGCCACGATACGATACTATCGCGATACTTAAGCCACGGTACGATACTATCGCGTTACTTAAGCCACGATACGATACTATCGCGATACTTAAGCCACGGTAAGATACTATCACGATACTTAAGCCACAATATTATCGCCATACTTAAGCCACGATACGATCGCCATACTTAAGCCACGATACGATACTATCGCGATACTTAGGCCACGATACGATACTGCGATACTTAAGCCACGGTACGATACTATCGCGTTACTTAAGCCACGGTACGATACTATCGCGTTACTTAAGCCACGGTACGATACTATCGCGATACTTAAGCCACGGTAAGATACTATCGCGATACTTAAGCCACGGTACGATACTATCGCGTTACTTAAGCCACGATACGATACTATCGCGATACTTAAGCCACGGTAAGATACTATCACGATACTTAAGCCACAATATTATCGCCATACTTAAGCCACGATACGATCGCCATACTTAAGCCACGATACGATACTATCGCGATACTTAGGCCACGATACGATACTGCGATACTTAAGCCACGGTACGATACTATCGCGTTACTTAAGCCACGGTACGATACTATCGCGTTACTTAAGCCACGGTACGATACTATCGCGATACTTAAGCCACGGTAAGATACTATCGCGATACTTAAGCCACAATACTATCATGATACTTAAGCCACAATACGATAGTTTTTTGCGATTCTACGATAGCTATATATTGCGATATATTTATATACATTTACATCTTTGTTTTGACTAACTTCCTGCCAATCCCACTGATTTTACCCATGACTGCACAAGAAAAAGCTCAGCACCATCTAGTGGATTGAAGGTTAGATCGCTACACACACAGACCTTCACAATAAAAGCATGAACATATTGAACTCACTCTTCTGATTGTCTTTGTTGTGCAGCAGGCTGTAGGTTGGATAGTTCACCTTGGGCCTGCAGAGGGAGAGCAGAGGGAGAGCAGAGGGAGAGCAGAGGGAGAGCAGAGGAGGCTTGAGTGAGAGAGAAACATCGATTAGTTTCTATCTGATGGAGTTAAAAAGGCAGAATGACCTGCTGAGTTTGCAGCTCTCCACTGAGAAGGAGTTTCTGCCGCTGAGGATCAGAGTGGAGGGGAAGCCGAGAACTGGAGAGGAGATCAGGTCGTACCTCGGAGCGTAGCTGAGGAACGAGGAGAGGACGTTATTTAATGTGTTAACAGATACATTCATTTCCTATCTTAAAGGTAGGGTAGGTAATTCCCTTCAGAAACACTTGTTATATTCCATGGAATGCTCTTAACATCCCGATAGCAATGAATATATTAAATGCTTTGACAATAAATACATAAATAAATGTCATCATGAAATGTCATGTCCGGCAGTGGCTCAGTCAGTAGGGGCTTGGACTGGGAGCCGTAGGGTCGCTGGTTCAAGTCCCCGACCAGACCTAAATATGGAGTGTGGACTTCTACTTGGAGAGGTCCCAGTTCACCTCCTGCCCTGCCGTGGTGCCCTTGAGCAAGGCACCGGACACCCCCCTTCCCCCCTCACTCCCATTGCTCCCCGGGCGCTGTACAATAGCTGCCCACTGCTCCTAGTACTAGACTCCTGGTACTAGGATGGGTTAAATGCAGAGGCCAAATTTCACTGTGTGTGCTGTGTGCTGTGTGCTGTGTGCTCTGCATGTGTGACCATTAAAGAGGGTTTCATCCCTCCCAATTCTAATTCTTCTTCTTCATCTGTGGAAGCCGTAGTAAAAAGCACGACCAATCATCTGAGCCGGCCCGGCTAAAATAACTGGATGGCCTACCTGCCTGTCAGCCTTCCATCTGTGCACAAACTTATCTCGTGCCCTCATTGGTCATGTGCGCGTTCGTGTGTGTTGGAGGAGGGGTTGAAGTCAGATTTTTTTCGGCTGCGTACTTTCAAATTCTAGCGCACTCGAGGAGCTGGTTTCTCCATTCTTACCTACCCTACCTTTAATGTTCAAATACTAGGGATTTACTTTGATGTTATGGCGAATTTAGATTAGATTTATTTTATTGTCACAACAGCGAAATTCGAAGCATTCCCGATGGTGCAATCACACAACAGACAGTATAAGTTTCATTTTGACAAAATAAATAAATGCAGAACAAGAACACACTACTGTTTTTGGTGTTGTTTTTTCTTGTGTAGCACTTGATGGACTTGTAAGAACGAGGTATAAAAAGATTATGCAGCAAAGATTGAACCCCAATGACTTGTGTTAAAGTAGACAGATGTGAATATTAGATCGACCCACTCATTTCATGTGAAAAGACACGGTGTATGTTCTCTCTCTTTATGTTAACGTGAAGGCAGCGTGACCTAAAACTAAACTGTTCCCACAACAACAGAGGAGTGATATTAATAAATGATAACAATCTCATCATGATTTAGCTATAATCAAGCGTGCCGTGTTAACAGAATATGAAACATTAAAGCTGGAGATCTTCAGATTGTGACAGACAAATGATGCTTGTCGAAACATGAATAGGTCTGCTCTTTCCCTCGGTACATATTCCTGTCATTTATGAGACAACGACTCGGTGTAATTACTGCAATGTGTGCAGCTGTCTGCAGAACTATAGTGTGAATCTTGCAGAGGTTACCCCAGGGTGAAGGGCCGCCCCCCCCGACTGTGGGAGAGCTCCTTGGAGAGGCTGAAGGGATGCAGCGACCCTCTCTGCAGCGGGGGGACCACCGTGCGGGTCCTCTCCGGCTGAACACCTGAAGAGAAATACATTCAGACAGTCAGAACCAAAGGTGGGAAGAAGTGGAGTACAAATACTGTGTTACTGTACTTAAGTACATTTTTCTGGTATCAGTACTTTACTCCACTACTTACATGTTGAACCCAAATACCTGTACTTTCTACTTCTTACATGTTGAACACAAATACCTGTACTTTCTACTTCTCACATTTTGAACACAAATACCTGTACTTTCTACTTCTCACATTTTGAACCCAAATACCTGTACTTTCTACTTCTTACATTTTGAACACAAATACCTGTACTTTCTACTTCTTACATGTTGAACACAAATACCTGTACTTTCTACTTCTTACATGTTGAACACAAATACCTGTACTTTCTACTTCTTACATGTTGAACACAAATACCTGTACTTTCTACTTCTTACATTTTGAACACAAATACCTGTACTTTCTACTTCTTACATTTTGAACACAAATACCTGTACTTTCTACTTCTTACATGTTGAACACAAATACCTGTACTTTCTACTTCTTACATGTTGAACACAAATACCTGTACTTTCTACTTCTTACATGTTGAACCCAAATACCTGTACTTTCTACTTCTTACACTTTGAACTCAAATACCTGTACTTTCTACTTCTTACATTTTGAACCCAAATACCTGTACTTTCTACTTCTTACATGTTGAACACAAATACCTGTACTTTCTACTTCTTACATGTTGAACACAAATACCTGTACTTTCTACTTCTTACATGTTGAACCCAAATACCTGTACTTTCTACTTCTTACATGTTGAACACAAATACCTGTACTTTCTACTTCTTACATGTTGAACCCAAATACCTGTACTTTCTACTTCTTACATGTTGAACACAAATACCTGTACTTTCTACTTCTTACATGTTGAACCCAAATACCTGTACTTTCTACTTCTTACATTTCCCAAACAGGCTGGTTCCTTTAGTTTGAATGTGTGTTTGGTGGCGTGATCATTATTATTTAGAGTCATTGCGTGCCTATTGATTTGAACACGATCCGTGTATCCATCATTTCCTGGTCTTCTCTAAAGAAGAGGGACCAATGAAAACGTTGTCATGTTGCCGTTGTTCAGCATGGAAACATTCATTAGCTAACAATGACATTATTGTTCTATTAATATAAAGGGAGGTCAGGTACTCTTTAAAACAGCTGCTAGTTATGGGTACTTTTTACTGAAGTACATTTCAAAGCCTCTTTACTTTTACTTGAGTAAAGAAGTTTAGTTCTACTTTTACCAGAGTATTTTTTAAACACGAGTATCTGTACTTCTACTTGAGTCAAGGATGTGTGTACTCTTGCCATCTCTGGTCAGAACTCACATCGAGTATGAAGACAAAAGGATATTTTGAAGCATAAAGGGAGTAAACAGTATGTAGACTACCAATATATAACGATACAGAGTGTAGAAGTGTGCAATAATTGTCTAAATACAACTTGTTTTTTTAAATGTATAAATGTTATAACTGGCTCTTTCTTTTTTTAACACTTTATTTATTGGTTTTTCCCACACATAACACAATAACAGGAGAAGATACAGAGTACAAATGCAGGATGACAAAACAATAATGATAATAACATAAAAAGACCATTCCAGTAATAGCAATGAAACAAATAAACCAAAATACACAATGACATGATAACACAGATGTTCGCTTACTTTGGATTTTAGTTTTATTAAGATGTCCTCTTTATAAATGTGTCTACTCTTTCTATCTGTCCCTTTGCTGTAACGCTGTTAATGTCACCGCTGTTTGACCAATAAAGGTTTTTCTGATTTGGCTAATATCTAGCTTGTTTTTTGTTCAGTATAAAAGTACCACTGGCCGTCACTGACGACACATTATTTATATGATAACAACTCCACCTACTGGCTGTTCAGGGAAACGCCTCAAACTCTCACTGTGTAATTAAACATCCTAAACTCTGTAATAATGACATGTCTTATTCTGAGAATCTTACATTGTTTTTCGAACAGGAAGTGTCTCCCGGTGATGTCATTGTCCTCTCGAGCTGAGTGAGGGGACCTCGAGGAGGAAGAGAAATAATAAATATCAGCACACAAGGAGAAGTGTAAATACTACCCAGAATAATTACACACACAGTAAACAATACGTGTCTTTTATCAAGTGTATCACAATAAAGGGTGCAGGGCCTCCAAGCTTGTGTTTAAAGGAGACCAACGAGAAAGAGATTCAGAATGACCACAGATATAGACTTAACCGCTAAATGAAATGCACACAATGACGATACAGAGATGCAGAAGGACTATACAAAGAAGAGAAAACCATCACAGACAAAAGGTAGTCTTAACAAATTACAGTAGCTTTTTAAAACAAGTATTTCAAATATAATAAAAATACAAATACAACTTTAAAGGGGACCTATCATGCAAAATACACTTTTGTACGTCTTTTCTACATGAATATGTGTCCCCGGTGTTCCAGGGAACTCACCAAGTGTCAGAAAACACAACCCTCTCTATTTTCCTCCATACCCAAATCTCTAAAAAAGGGGCTGCAACGGATCTGATAAAAACTGATCCAGATTTGAACACTGTCCTGACGTCAGGACGGTGGCGCTACGGCTATTGGGCCAACTCCACCAATCAGGAGGAGACAGCCACGGCCATTGCCGTTCGAAAGCGCTGGAGACGCTGTAGTACATATGCCAGGCCTGTAGATGGTGCTGTTCTCACTGAATCAACCCTTGCAATTTTTTTTCAAATTGAGCAAAATGAGGCATGGCTAAAATGCATGATCTGTTTGGTATTTTGAAAAAAAATAAGTATAAATATGCCTTATATAGGTATGGTCCTACACTATATTATTCAAATATAGCATGATAGGTCCACTTTAAGGGACAAAGAAACGGTGTGTTCAGACTAGTATTCATTTGTGAAAGTAATTAGGTCACATGACAGAGAAGCTATTGATAAAAAACACTGGATTTTCAATAAAATTATACATGTGAAATAGAGGAAGGACTAAATATAAAGAGGTGTGTCTGCTGGAGTTTTGCTACAACTGTATTTACATTAAGTCTAAGGACAAGTATATTTAACACAACAAGTGTGTTAGCAAAGATGTCACACAAAAAAAAAGACAAAGATTTTGAAAATAAAAAACAGTGCGTGTCAACTGTACTGCAGGAAATACAACTCTGTAACTATGTGCAATATGTGCAAAATATATATATATATATATATATATGTCGTTAATAACTGTGCAATATATACCTGGCTGCTAAATCCTCAGAACTGTTACAGGATGTGTATTTTGTAAATCGTGTAACTTTCTTAATTAAACATTTTTGTATCTTTAATATGTTTTTTATGCATGCTTCTTAGGTAACATTAAGCTGTCAGTGGCTCTTTTCTGCTGTAACAATGTGGGACGAATTAAGGTATTCTGATTTTGTAATTAGTTACAGGGTTGCAAATCAATGCTAATGTTAGCTTTTACCTCAGGAAACAAGGTTTAAAAACTCACCCTCCGACCATGAAGCCCCTGCTCCACGTGTTCCAGTCCCGGGACCCTGCAACCAGGTGGAAGAAGTACTCAGATATTTACTTAAGAAAAAGTAGCAAAACTACAGGGTATAAATACTCAATTACAAGTAAAAGTCCTGCATTGAAAAGTATATATATGTTCATTACTTCAATGTTGCACTGGTTAAGTGGGTTTGATTTGATTTGCTTTATACACTACCGGTTAACCTAACCTATAATAATATATAATATTGTGTGTTGATTTATATTTTGTATTAATAACCGTAATCTGATAAGTAAAGTTGTAAAATAATGTAATGGAGTAAAAAGTATAAAGTAGCATAGTGTGAAACTACTTAAGTAAATGACAAGTACTGCAATGTTTTACCAGTACTTGAGAACATGTAGAAGTACTCAGATCTTGTTCTTTAGTAAAAGTAGAAGTACTCAGATCTTGTACCAGAGTGTAGGAATACTCTTTAAAATGTAAATACGCGATACTATAAAACACATGTGTAATTAAATACAGTACTTGAGTAAAAGTACTTAGTAACATTACACCCCAGATGTCATATATTAAGCTAGCATCATGTATAGAAACACAGGATTACAGAGGTGGAAGAAGTAGGCTACCAGATCTTGTACTTGAGTGAAAGTAGAAGTACTCAGATCTTGTACTTGAGTAAAAGTAAAAGTACCAGCAGAGTGAAGGAATACTCTGTAAAATGTAAATACATACTAATTAAGAGGAGTACTTGAGTAAATGTACTTAGTTACAGAGGTGGAAGAAGTACCAGATCTTGTACTTGAGTAAAAGTAGAAGTACTCAGATCTTGTAATTGAGTAATTAAGAACTATAATCAGATCTTGTACTTGAGTAAAAGTAGAAATACTCAGATATTGTACTAAAAGTATAAGTACTCAGATATTGTACTTGAGTAAAAGTAGAACTATTCAGATATTGTACTTGAGTAAAAGTAGAAGTACCAGAGTGTAGGAATACTCTAATTAAGTGGAGTACTTGAGTAAATGTACTTAAGGTAACATTACCCCCCTGATGTCCCACATTAAGCTAGCGTCATGTATAGAAACACAGCATTACTCACTGCTCTGAGGCTGGATGAGAGGCAGTTTCATCCGGATGTTTTCTACCCCCCTCCCGGAGCTCCTGTATGCCGGACATGGAGCCTCAAGGCCGGGGTGGCTGCAGCTCGACCCCCGGTCCGATGTCAGAGCCTTATTAGCGGTGGGTAGTAGCGACGCGTTTACTTGGAAGGTCATCATGCTGCAGCGGCCTCGCATCACCTGTATTATCACCGGTTATGGATGAACACACAAACGCACCTGCTGGAGGGCATTTTTAAAATCCTTAAAAAGGACCGTTAGGTAGAGCTTAGGATCCCGAGCTGCGATGCTAGCTATAACCGAGTCACTGCGTCACCATGGCAACAGGCTGCAGGAAGACCGTTACTCATCATATATTAACGGTTTTTATTTATTTACTTCTTAAATAAATTACGGTTTCTCATAATTAACGGTTTTCATTGATCAATTCTTAAATTAACGGTTGAAAATGTTAGTTACTCGTTATGTATTAACGTGTATTTATCTGATTTTCGTATAGTTCATATTGTACAAATATCTTGTTTATTTCTATATGAATTACTTTCTTACCGTATGTTATTGACACACATATTTACCCAATTTTCTTATTCAACCTTTATTTTATTTCATTAAATGATTGAAAAATTTCACAATTTAGTAAAAAAGTATGACTTTACTGTAAGTACTTCACCCTTTAGTAATTGGCAAAAGTAGGCCTTCCCTCAATACTGGAGGACAATCTTATATGTGTTAACTCTTGTAATGTTATGGGATGTTAAAGTACTATAAAAACAATTTAAAATCCAAACATGTATAGCCTATGTATCTTAACCATACAAGGATAACTTTCCAGTGAGTCTTCAGTACTAAAGTTTTCAATAAGGGTCCTTAGTTTTCCCTGACAGTCTTATTGGTTTACAACAGTGAAGTGCTCAATGTCTAAATGACCCTTAAAAACCAACTATATGAACAAAGTGGTTGTGGAAAAAGATACCTTGCTCGTAACCAAAATATAGTAGATCACACACACATTTCTGAATAAAAGTGCACATCAGATATTAACGACAAACACATTTTTTTTTTCTCTCCAAGATTTTTTATTGTACATTTTGAGTCCTTTGCAAACCTGAAACAGACAAAAGGAGAAACTGTTATTGATGTGATTTCTTACCAGATGCAAAACACTCTTACAGATAAGGTTAAGTATCTTCAATATTAAATCTATGCTTCTTCTTAACTCATGTTTCACACTGGTTTCATTTTGTCAAAGGCGGCTTTTTCCAATAAAGACAAGCAATGCTAAACTCAATCTAAAGCGATGTCACATTAACAAAACTTTATTTGGATCCATTTCTGCTCTCATTACTTTTTCCCTGCCGACTAAAGCACATGTAGCAGAGGATTCTAACACGGATGGCTTAGATGTGGTTTCAGACATATTGGCTTAAATACAATTGGTTTTCACCACAGTCGATAAGATGGGGAAAAAAGATTGTGCATCATTAACCACACCTATGAACCATGCATCTTCTGCAGATCTTTTAGAGTTTAAAGTCGCTGCCACTCACCATGAGTCTAGTTCATCCTCCGGATCTGAAACAGACAAGAGAAACTGTTATTGACGGGACCAAGTGATTTTTTACCAGATGCAAAACACTCGTACTAAAAGACAAGCAATGCTAAACTCAATCTAAAGAGACGTCAAATTAACAAAACTTCCTGCCCTCATTACTTCTTCCCTGCCGACTAAGCAGAGGATTCTAACACGGATGGCTTAGATGTGGTTTCAGACATATTGGCTTAAATACAATTGGTTTTCACCACAGTCGATAAGATGGGGAAAAAAGATTGTGCATCATTAACCACACCTATGAGGCCATTTGAACTCTGCAGATCTTTATTGAGTTGCTGCCACTCACCATGAGTCTAGTTCATCCTCCGGATCATTCTGTTGATCTGGTCCTCCCTGTTGCCAGCATCTCCTCCCTCCACAAAGTGAGTGGTCTTCTTGTTCATGCCGCCGCGCGGAGACGACAGTTTGAAGGGCCACAGGAAGTTGTTGGCGGGCTTGAAGTTCTTGCCAACTGTGTAAATCTCGTGGATGAGATCCTCCACACAGATGATGCCGTATTTGCCTGGAGAGCAAAAAATATACGGTGTTTAGGAAACCATACAACTGTTGCAACCACTTGTATCAGTAAAGGACACACTGGGGTTGAGAAATCAGTTGCGTGTCAAATGTTAATTGATACAAGTGCAATAGAATATCTTGGACAATTTGGGCTTTACTGGTCAGAATAGTTTAAAATAAAGACTGGAGTTTATCGTTCAATGTCTCCCTTAAAGCTCAGCATACATTTTACTTTGTAGAAGTTACAAGTACAAGTTTCTTGAGGATGTGTAACAAAAATATATCCTAGTGGTTAAATACTGTTAGACTGACATGTGGTTTCAGACAAACTGGCTTAGTCTCAGTTTTTCTCACCATGGTCGATAAGACGGGGAAAAAATTGTACATCATTAACCACATGTTGCAGAAGACCTCGAGTTAACAGCCATTTGATAAAGTAGTGACACTGTTTCTGCAGAATAACACTACCTTGTTCAACACGTAATATATAAAAAAAGGCTCAGAGAAGCACAACTTGTTCCAAATTAATATAATAATACGTTTTGCATACCGAGAGCCTTCTCCACCAGAGCGTTGTCGGTGAGGGCGATGCGCTGTTTCCTCATCCTGCCATGACCACGTTTGTAGATGAGCTCACGCACAGACTTCAGGTTGGGGTATCTGAGGGGAACAACGGGGCATAAAATGGTTATTAAACGAACTCTGGTCAAATCTGAACAATGTTGTTGACAACAAGGAGAGATGAGAGTGTAGACAATCTCTTGCAATACAAAAAAAATATTGTTTTTTGCATTCATACCATGGATAACAAGTACAGAAGCACCTCTGACTAAAAACAGCTAATGAGCAACTGCAAAGAAAGTTTGGCTTATTATCTTTCCCATATCAAAGTACACAATAGTGTCTCTGATCAGCCATGTTAAATGCATCAGTTACATGGTAGTGCAACACATTTACACACTTTGGGTTGTCTCTAATCGGCCAATAATAGCTATTGTCTATTTCTCACCAAACACGTTTTAAAACAGCAAGCCATCATATTACTGTAACCCAAATCTAGTACATATTACTATCTTGGAATGTGGTTTCAGACAAACTGGCTTAGTTACAGTAAGTAATCACCATAGTCGATAAGATGGGGAAAAAAGTTGAGCATCATTAACCACATTCCAGATATAAATCCACTATTTCAGAGTTAATACTGGGACACATTTCCATTAAGTTATCTTACCCCCAGGCGATGTAGGGCTCGGCGATCCTCAGCATGTTGATGGAGGCTTTGTTCAGCCTGACGAAGACACCGTTGAAGATCTGGCGAAGACGCATCAGCTGCAGAACCTTGCGGACCTTGGGGGCGACACCGTTGATACTGGGGGAGAAAAACGAGGATAATGATTAGTTTATAGCTTAGCGTGAAGATGCAGCTTTCTCGTTTTAGAGATTTGTGGTTTCAGACAAACTGGCTTAATATACAAAGCTTTTTCAGCATAGTCGATAAGTCGGGGAAAGAGTGGTCATCACTAAACACAACAAAGCAGACAGTACACTTGCATGGATTACTACATTTAGAGAATGAAAAGGCCTTCAGAAAAGCAGCATTTAATTCTTAACAAAATATTTAATTGTGCCGTCTCATGACAGAGGCTCAAACGTTTATCCAGAGGCTATAATAACTGATTATATGAAGTCTTAGTATTTGCTGTACCCTATAGTAGTTTCAGTTGGTGTATTTTGTACCAAAGTTTCTTTTAAATTAGCTTTCTCAATCCTTAATTAACACCTGGTTGGGAAATGCCAATATTCTGGCAACAGCTTGAGCTTCATGTCTTGTAGGAAACCTAGTAATCCATGTAAATGCTACTGATAATTTCACAAGACGGACACTACTCACCCTCTGATCCTCATGACGAAGGCGAGTTTGGGCTCCGCTGGCACGTAGAAGTTTCCCACTTTGCGAGCAGTGCGGCCCAGACGTACCTCACGTCTGTACATCGTCTTGTACTCCTTGTGGTACTTCTCGGCCCTCTTGTAGATCAAAGTCCTGGTCACTTTGCGGGCCTGAGAACACATTAGGAAATAACATGCTCTTTTAGTGCACTGTTCAGCTACACGTCAACATATACACGGTGATGATTATTAGATCAGTGCATGTGGTTTCAGATAAACTGGCTTAGTTGTCAGTTTCTCACCATGGTCGATAAGACGGGGAAAAAATTGTGCATCACTAACCACATGTAGCACTATTCCTTAATCTAACAGCAACTTAAAAAGTAGGGATTCAGCCATCGTAGAAGCAACTATTAACACCTCAGAGAAAGCATACTTGTAACTTAAATAAGTGACTCCTCAGAAATACTTCTCAGTTACATCAGTGAACTTCTAGCATCACAGCAGGTCAATGAATTCAGGCCTTCAACATGTATACAATTATAACCAACACTTTAAAAAAGGTGTTTGAAGGTATATAAGAGGAGGCTATGATAACAATGAATGCAGTGCAGTGCAGGTGGGAACTTTAAAACGACCCATTGAATCTAGGTATGTACTAGTTTGTAAGTGCATTGAAAAGGAAATACACAGGAACATCTAGTCAATCACAGCCTTAATGTTTTGTATGCTGGGCTAAGTCATTTTCGATCTAAGGTGGCAACCTACATCTTTTAGCAGATGTTCACCTGGTGGAGCTTCTTTGACTTCAAAGTAGATGAACACATGTGCCATATTTCCATAAAGAACACTTAGGAGCTAAAACCGTAAGGATAATTTGTCTACTTGCCCCTGAAAACTCCTATATGTACACTCCTCAATATAAGTACTTTTACAGACTTATTCAATGCTCTCATTAGCTATTTTAACAGCACAAACACACAAGATGTAAACGCTTTGAAGGTGTGGAGGAGGAATGCTAACAGTTAAGGTGGGAACTTTAAAAACGACCCATTGAATCTGGGTATGTACCGTTTGTACTTATTAGACTTGTAAACAAATAGAGAATGTTTTAGTGCGAGTGCATTAAAGAGGGTTGCAAGAATACGTAAACTTAATATTTTAAAGCTAGATGTATATTCCCAAAAGGGGTTTCATACAAACTGTTCACCTGTTTGAGCTTTCTTTAGTGACTTTAAAGCAGATGAGCAGACACGTGTGCCCTATTAAAAATACTGAACACTTAATAGTAAGAGCTAAAACCATGAGGAGAATTGTTCTACTCGCCCCTGGAGACAGCATACATTACAATTACTGTTGCAGACTAATTCAATGCTAACATTAGCTCTTTTAACAAACACACAGTTATACTCCAGCATGCATCTTACCTTCTTCTCAGAAAGCATCTTCTTGATGCGAATGGCCTTCATGGTTGCAAAGGCCTTTCGCCTTTTCAAAAGGCTCTCAGGGACCGCCTGAACTTTTTTGCTGTTAAAGGAGATGCAAAACGTAAGAACACAGCTCGAAACATGTTGACAAAAATCAGGTAATCTCAAACAAAGCTGAACTACTACGAAATAACAGCGTGTATATACCACTACTAGCTGCTAGCATGCTAACCGGTCAGTATTTACCGGCTCCCTGAAAACTAGCCGATGTGTAATGAAAACATTACAAGAGAGTTCAAGTCTACAACTTATTCCAGCAGTTAAATATTTAATTTGTTGTCCATTTTAGCACAAAAACGAGCTACTTCTTGAGTCTTCACGTCCAGCCATGTTGGATTACTACCGCTGAACACAAGACTCAAAGAAGTCCTTTTAAAAACGTATAAAACCAACAATCCCAAACAATAATACACGGAATACGTTGAATGCTAACTAAACAAACTATATAATGTGTAAAATGTATAACGATGGTTATTTAAAGACAGGATTCGGGTAGATTGTAAGACGGTGGAAGACACTCACTCTGAGTCCGCCATTGCGTCCACCGAGAAAGAGGAAAAATCTTCTGCGCATGTCCGCGTTAAAGGATTGAGGACCCCGGCGGGCTGTCCTTCCAGCTGCCTGACTAATATATTTATATCGCACACCATTTTTTATTTATAAATAATTTAGACTAATCTATTTCTTAAATAATGAATATGACCATTCTTATGGTTAAAGGTGATATACATCTTAACAGATAGAGAAACGGAAAGCTCTCCTTAGTTTAGTTTATACATAAAAATGATTTTTCTCACGGCTCAAACATATTCTAGTAAAATAACAAGAAAGACAAGTCCATTTTTTTTAATTTATTACCCTTTTTTATTTTCAAGTACTTGCTCCTCTTGTTATATTTTACGCCTGGTAAACAAATTATAACTGTTCGTTTATATATTTAATTCAATATTTCGAAATGCATTATTTTATTTGTTGTGTAAGTGTTTCCTGCAAGATCGTGTATATTAAATTAAAAAAAGAAACAACAAGGTTAGCTCACGTCTTTTTTAATCTTTTGATTAAAAATGTGGCACCAAGTTGACAAAGTGTTCTGTAAACCGGTCCGGAAATGCACGGTCTCATATGCAATGTGTTTAATTTGCATAGTAGGCCTACTATAAAATGAACTGTATCTTCACCTCTCCAGATGCCACAGGTGAGTGTTGTGGTCGTCTCTCCGGCAGAGGGAGCCCCCACTTCACTCTGCAGAGCCGGGGATCACAGCTCGTCTCTGGGGAACTTTCATTCACTGATCCTCCGATCATCTGCTTCAGATGGCACTGTGATGCGCAGCTAGGTTATGCAAAGAAAAATGTTGTAGATTGAAGTTAAAGGACATAAGACACGAGGAACAATGCATTAGTCAAAAAAGCACACTACATTTGATTAAAAAGTACAGTTTGGTAAAATACTACTACAGTAATCATATATTTTTCCATTTTAGGCTTCCTTTATCTTCTGCACATATGTTAATATGCTCAATCAAATATCTTGCAGTCATATTTTATGAGCTTGTACACTAGAGAGCTAACGTATATTAAAACAATTTAACTAACAATGCTTGCTCTTTATTATAAATAGCCATAATTTGCTTCTAATTGTGCACTAGGCTACGTTTTGCTGTAATTATACACATGTGTGTAATACATTGGGACCCCCTCCCCCTAAGACACTCCCACCAAACATCTCAAAGGCTGCAAGACGTTGCACTGAAAGGGACATAAAACACATTTTTACATTAAATGCACCTTATGTAATGTCCTTATAGGCCACCAGCTGTTTGTTTTCTATAATATTCATAATTATGTTTGTGTTATGAATAAAAACACCTTTATGCAGCAGCAGGCTGTTCCACATAGAAACACATGGTACTATTGTCCAGCCTCTTTTTTTGTTACTTGTGTCTGGTTACGTAGCCTGTTATCGATCTGCTTTCACTTTCCGCATTGAGCAGATCGCAATGGATCAGTGTCAGTTAATAGCTTTGATATGTGTTAATAGACTTCTTTAAGTGTAGTATTGCGTGGAGAAAAAGGTGCTAAAATGACCAAAAGTGCGGTTATTCTTTAAAAAACAACGATGGTTTTGCTTGTTTTGTTAAAGGACGGACATTGACCTGGACTGTGATGTGGCCTGCATTTCTGTCACGGTGGAAAAACTCGGTACGAGAATATACAATGTTCTTAAAATCCAAATTCTGCTCATGTAACTAATCAAAAAATAAGATTAAAATAAAAATAGCTTAGAAAAAAGGTATGCAATTGTCGTCTAAAGCCATATTTGAGCATTTTTATGTATTTAATATAGGCTAAATGACTTTGTTTCATAATAAAAGTCAAAAGATAATTATAAAAGCAGCAGTGGTTTACTCTCTAATCTTCCTCTGGGATATTACATTGAGGGGGGGGGGCTCGCATCAGATGAGTGTTAAGTAAAATCTGCTGGGTTACATCACCTCTCAGTGTAATGTATGGAGCTTCATTGTGACTCTGAGTCTGCCTCCTATTGGGTGCTCGGTGATGGGAGGACTGGATAAATAGCAGGGGAGATGCGGGTGAGGATGAGATGAGGAGCAGCAGAGGAAGTGGGAGGATCGAGGCTCAAAAGTCAATGCAACTGGACTGCATCTCAACTCTCTCTCACTCCACACTTTCTACCTGTGCTGCAAGTTTTCAAACCGGCATCTGCTGCACTCAGGTTTAAAAGAAGAAGGACCCTTCATTTCCCGCCGCTTAATTGACTGCTTCCGACCCAAGATGATGATCCTTATCGCGGAGTTCTTCGTGGTGATTCTCAAGGTGCTCTGGTCTTTTGTAACAGCCGGCTGTAAATGGGTGGTGCGACCAAAGGAGAAGAGTGTGGCCGGACAGGTGTGCGTAATCACCGGGGCTGGAAGTGGCCTCGGACGGCTCTTCGCCAAAGAGTTTGCCCGGAGAAGAGCCATCCTGGTGCTTTGGGACATTAACAGCCAGAGCAATGAGGAAACAGCCGAGATGGTGAGGCAGATTTACCACGAGCTGGACACTCCCATCACCAAAGACGGTAAGAAATTAGGACGTCAACAGTTTTTAAAGCATGTTCAGAGAGGTCGAATTGTGTTTGCAGTGTGGAAAATCATAGTAGTTGTGTAAACATATGACGGTGTGTGCAATATTTCAGTGTGTTCAGTCTACAGATATACCACAAGTCTTAAACACTGTTAAAATCACCTTTTTTTTATTGCTCAAAATTCCTGAAAAGTTACATCTTAATCTTTCTAAAACTCAAACATGTTCAGTGAAACTAGGTCAAATTCTTTTTGGCTTATGCAGTGTGGAAAACATATTTCAAGGATAGTAGTTGTAGTATTTCTGTACACTGAACACACTGAAATGTTGCACACTGTCAGATTGTTAAGGCTAAAAAAAACTGTTAAGATGACCTTTTATGTTGCCAAAAATTGCTGAAAAGTGACTTCCTAATCCCTCTAAAATTAAATCATGTATGCACTCAGAAATCACCAATACTTCCTAATCTTAAACCCATGTAATGTCCCTAAAATAAGTCACAAAATCAGTTAGAAGCAGCCTGTTGAACACACTTTAATCCACTTTCTCCCCCTCTTTTCCCCTTCAGGACCTGTTGGAGGGGTCGAGGAGGTCCCCCCTTTCCAGCCGCAGGTCTACACCTATGTGTGTGACGTGGGGAAGCGTGAGCATGTGTACGCCACAGCTGACAAGGTGCGTCGAGACGTGGGAAACGTGGACATACTGATCAACAACGCCGGCGTGGTCTCCGGACACCACCTCCTGGAGTGCCCTGATGAACTGATCGAGCGCACCATGGTGGTCAACTGCCACGCACACTTCTGGGTGAGCAAGATCAAGCATTTTCTTTTCAAGATTCAAGGCTTTTATTGTCATTTGGACATAGCTACAGTGTAGTTATCACAATGAAAATCTTAGGTCACAGGCTCCTCCAACAGTGCAACACAATGAAATAAAATAGAATATAGTAGAAATAGTGCAGAATAGTCTGTATACAAGTAATTGGAATATTGATATGAGTTGCAAACAGATGAATGTGTAGGCGTGTAACAGTCTTATGGCCTGTGGGATGAAACTGTCCCTGGTGCATCATCAAATGAAATGCCACACTAATGTTTCCATTCATAAAACTGAAGACTCTAAGGTGTTACAGACCGTATTAAGACAGTGAAGCGTTCCCTTGCTTTGAATATGCTTTAATTCTGTCAGAGGAAAGTCATGAGTGTGTCTTTTTTTAAAGTCTGGCATGGTGCAGACACAGATCCCCGAGGTATGTCAGCCCGCGGAGATGTGCACAGATCCAACCTGCGTGATGGAGGTTGTGTGCGTGGGGATGGATTTGTGTCAGCCACATTTTGTTGGCAGTGATTTGTTGTGTATCAGGTTCTGCTCCCTGGCTCTTATTCAGTGTGAATACTTATCTGAGAGGCTACGTGGACTTGATGGAGTGAATGTGTTGCACTTTAGATAAGCATGTGCTGCAGTGTTAGTGCTATCTGAGTTTGTATGTGTTTTTAAAGGGTGTGGGAAGAATCTCAGCTCCATGGACTCCATTGAGAATCCCTACTGATGGGAATTGATTGCTTAGCATTTAAGCGCCTCACATCGTTGATTGCTTTACTCTGCTGCAGCCACCTCTGTCGGACACTTATTGTGATTGGGCACAAATTGGAAATGTGGGTCTGTACTGTCCATCTTTGTATTTGTTTACGATATGAGCTACGTGTCTCCTGAAGCAGATGATGATCGTCTAAGATGTGAAACTCTTAGTGTTGTCAGTCAGGCAGGTTGTGTATTTCCTCCATGCAGCCTTTCATGCGCCTCTCCACTATCTCCACGTTCTTTCACAGCCACGACTGGCAGTCAGGGTCCAGTGGCAGATTTTGAATTTTTTAATGGGGGTCTGTGTTTGTGTTCTCCCATATTCTGTGGAGACTAGAGCGTGGTTTCTTTAAGGGGTCGGGAGTTGGGGGGGGGGTGGCAGATGAAAGGAGGACTTAATGAATGGCGACAGGCAGAATAGAGGATGTGGTTCATTAAAGACACAAGCTGGATGAATAGAGCTTAGACTAACAGGGACCTGTCCACTTTCCTCCCTTACACAAACACAGTACAGTTACTCAGTGCATTCAGGTGGCACGTTACACAAACCTTTTGATTTAGCTCCTCAACAAGAGGCTTTTAAAAGGGCTTAATTGAGGTTTATGACTCAACTAATACCCTCAGTTTAGAGCCAAGTCATACAAAGTTTGAAGTGTTTATTTAGGTGCACGCTGACAATGAAGGGATATGATAAAAGAAGACAAAGGTTGAGATGAATTCAAAGAGTCTTTCTACTTCCTTTGTCTTCTTCTCGGTTATCTTTTCATGCTGCAGCGTCATTGAAGAGGTCTTTTCTTATTCAACGAGACATCAGAGCGGCGATGTCAACCCCCAAAACTTCTCCGCTTTCCTCAGAGCCAATTATTAAACTTTCCCACCCAGTTTCTCAAGAAACAAGATTTTGTGAAAGTTTACATTTGGTGGATAGTGTAGTAAAGGC